GTAACCATCTCTGATTGACCAAAGATACTGTAACCATCTCTGATTGACCAAAGATACTGTAACCATCTCTGATTGACCAAAGATACTGTAACCATCTCTGATTGACCAAAGATACTGTAACCATCTCTGATTGACCAAAGATACTGTAAACATCTTTGATTGGCTATTCCTAGTCAAAGTTTAGCGAGTTTGTGGGATTCAACGAATTTCAATTCTTGCCATTTTCTGACCTGGGAGCTTGAATACTAAAATGCACATTTATCAACAGTTTGGTTCTTCAAAAATTATCACGTGACTTAGATCGATTACTTTGATCGAATCAACCATCCCCAGCAAAAAAATTATTTCGACGATGAATATATAATAATACATTTTTTTACAAAGTTGAAGTTTGGATTCAAATTGTACACACCCAATCAACTTCTTGAGCAAAATTTGAAACTAAAACGTGATAAAAAATATTCAGTTGTATGTTTTAGTTTCGTACATAATTTACAACCCTTGCAAATTGTGTTGTATGAAAACATTTCTTAGACTGAATTATCGGTGGTTAACTCCTAGCGACCGGACGTAGCCAGGCGGTCGCAGCCATGTCTGTGAGTGACGCAACTGTGATATTTGTTGAGACTTACATCAACCTGTGGCTATACCTGGCGCTGTCCACGCTTGGCATCATCTTCAACTCCATGCACTTTAGCCTCGCTCTGCGATTAAAAAGTATGTACGGGGGTTTTTCCGTGTCAATAGCGATCCTGTGCTTCTGGAACTTGGTGCGCTGTCTGTCAGTTTTTACACATCGTCTGTACGGGCCAATAGGAATGTTCTCAAGGCAATATGGCGTCAGCTGGAGAAATATGTCTGGACCGTACCTGGACTATTTCGAGACGTCTTCTGCTAACGTTGTGTTCGCGTTCACGGCTTACGTGGCGCTGACGAGATGTTTGTGTGTGGCCATGCCATTTACAGTCAAATCCTTATTTACACCAAAATTTACAACGGTGATGATGGTGTCCATTTCAGCCGTGGTGTTCGCCGCTTATTTCGTCATGTATTTCTCTTTCGTGATCAAGTTGGACTTTAGTGGAGAATTCAACACGACAACCCCTCACTACGAGTACAGCGACTTGTATCTGTCCCACGGGGACGTTCTGAACAGATACTACATAACACTGTCTGTGATACTGCCATCTTTGGCGTTCTGCATCATTTGCGTCAGTTCAGTTGTCACGTGGTACTATTTGAAAAAATCCACCATTGCAGCTGTCTCAAAAACTAAGAGCCAAGAGAACTCTGAACGCAAAATGTCCCAGAGAGAGAAAAGTGTAGCTAAAACGCTTTTGGTAGTTTTTATCTTTTTCGTCTGTAATATTTTACCCACATTGTCTTTTCACGTTGCACGGCTGGCCGAGCCGGAATTCTTCATGTACAAAAACTACCACAATACTTATTTGCTTCTGTTTAGAATGCTGATGGGCTTGGATTTGTTGAACGCCTGTAGCATATTTTTCATTTGCCTGATAATGAGACCGACTTTTAGGTCGCACTTAAAATGTTCACGCTATCTTAAAAAAGATAAAAGACACCAACAAATTAGCAATGGAATGAAGCAACAACAAATTAGCAATGGAATGAAGCAACAACAAATTAGCAATGGAATGAAGCAACAACAAATTAGCAATGGAATGAAGCAACAACAAATTAGCAATGGAATGAAGCAACAACAAATTAGCAATGGAATGAAGCAACAACAAATTAGCAATGGAATGAAGCAACAACAAATTAGCAATGGAATGAAGCAACAACAAATTAGCAATGGAATGAAGCAACAACAAATTAGCAATGGAATGAAGCAACAACAAATTAGCAATGGAATGAAGCAACAACAAATTAGCAATGGAATGAAGCAACAACAAATTAGCAATGGAATGAAGCAACAACAAATTAGCAATGGAATGAAGCAACAACAAACAAAATTTGAATTTTAAATACAAACGGTTTATTAAAATTAAAAAAATAAGTTAAGAGTTCTTGAATATGTTTTAAAGGCCATACTATGGGCACGACCCACAAATTATTAAAATCACTTTTCTCCGAAGTTCTCCAATCCCATTTTTCGAACACAATCTGCACAACGGGAAATACTTGATAAGCTCAAAACCCCTTTTTAAAATCACGCTCTAAAACGAGGCTGCCGTATTTCAAGTCACGTCACAATGTACCACTGATGGCTGAGTTTAAACTACGCTTTGAAAAAAATAGTTTCTGCTCCATTGATCAACATCTGATGTGTTTGCTTTACGCGTGATTTCGACGACAGTACAGGAATAAAATTGCGTACTTCAATTTGAAAAAAAAGCACTACGAGTCATACTTGGCTGGAACACGTTTGTTGTTAGAGAAATAAATTGTTCATTTATTAGGTAGTTTTAATGTGCGTCTAGTTGTTGTCTGGGGGGGGGGGGGCAGGTTAAAGTGACCGGATGACCGGACGTAAACAGCCGTCACCATGTCTGTAAGTGACGCAATGGTGAGTTTCGTTGACACGTACATCAACCCGTGGTTGTACCTGGTGCTGTCTCTGTCGGGAATCATCATCAACCCTACGCCCCTCAGCGTTTCTCTGCGCGTGCCAACGTTTCGCGGCAGTGTTTCCAACCTAGTATCAACCCTGTGCTTCTGGAACCTGCTGGGGTGTTAGTCCGTTTTCGTCCATCGCCTGTAGGGGCCAAAAGGAATGTTCTCAAGGCAATATGGCGTCAGCTGGAAAACTATGTCAGGACCGTCCCTGGACTGTTTCGAGTCATCTTCTACTAACGTGACATTCGCTCTCACGGCTTACGTGGCGCTGACAAGATGTCTGTATGTGGCCATACCGTTTACAGTCAAATCTTTACTGAAACCTAAATTTGCCACCGTGATGATGGTGTCCATTTCAGCCGTGGTGTTCACCGCTTATTTCGTCATGTATTTCTCTTTCGTGATCAAGCTGGACTTTAATGAAGAATTCAACACGACAATTCCTCGCTTTGAGTACAGCGACTTGTATCTATCCCATGGAGACTTTCTGAACACATACTACAACACACTATCAGTGATACTACCAACTCTGGCGCTTTGCGTCATTTGCGTCAGTTCGGTTGTCACGTGGTATTGTTTGAGACAATCCACCAATGCCGCTGTTACAAAAAATGAAAATAGAGCGAACTCTCAACCCAAAATGTCTCAGAGAGAGAAAGGGGTCGCTAAAATGTTGGCGGTGCTTCTGATTTTGTCCATCTGGAATATTTTACCCCACGCAGTGTTCCGCGCTGCCCAGCTCGCTGTGCCAGGTCTTTTTTTTTTAAACCAAAAATACCACGCCATGCATCTGTTGTTATTTATATTATTGATGGGTTTCGATTTGCTGAACTGCTGCACGGTATTTTTCATTTGCCTGATAAAGATATCAAGCTTTCGGGCCCTCTTCAAGTGCCCGATCTGTTAGCGAAAGTAAAAAAATGAAAAATCAGCCACAAGAACAACCACAAGAACAACCACAAGAACAACCACAAGAACAACCACAAGCACTGCCGTGTCGAACTTGTAATAATAAAAAAAAATCATTTTCTTAGAAATTGTAATTCCAAACAAGTTCTTGGATAGCGAGCTTCGTCTCTTAGACAACTAACTCTAGCGATACAGACTTTATAGACAATCATCTTTGTGTACATTAAGTACAAATAAGTGTACAGTAAAGCACTCAATACTTTAGCCTTGGGGTATGCGAATTCAACACAGTTTTTGTTAATTACATTTTTTGTCTCGCTTGAGTTTTTAAGAGAAATTTAGAAATAAAATTTAAAAAATCAACCCTTCTTTGTTTATATCAGAAGAAACCCAAGAACAAAAGCGGGGTTAATATAAATTATTTTTAAAAGTTCGGAGGAAATGGGGGGGGGGGTGCATCA